ACTAAACTTACATGAAAATAAAATAGTTTTCAGCAATTTTTAAAACAAATTTTAATATTAAGTCTTATAAAGTAGTATCTGGGGTTTCCAAAAATGATATTAAACAACATTCCAAGTCTAAAACTATGCATTTTATGAACATTTTAAAAGAACAAGTTCAAAATGTCCAAACACGTCATGAAATTATAAGAGAGTTACAATTTTCAAAAAACTCAATAAATCGGAGTTTTTTAAACTGTTCATTAATCGACCATTTTTGAAGGTATTTCAAAAAGTAATGACATTTTAGAATAAGTATAAAATATAGAAAATAAAAATAAAATTTTTTTTTTTTTTGTTCAGTTCTCAGGGTATGTTTGTGAGCTGCAAGTGCGCATCAATAAAATCGATGATTTTGGGGCTATAACTGCTTATAAAACTATGATTTTTCAAAATATTCAGTATAAGTTGGTTTTATCTTTTAGACCATTATCTGGGATTTCCAAAATGATATAAAACATTATTCTCAGTCAAAAACTTTGGATTTTATAAAATTTTTAAGAAATAAAATCAATAAAGTTCAAAAATGGCCAAATAATCACGTTTTTTCCGACGGCACCGGAAAAAATGGTCAAAAATAAAAAATATTTTGGATTTTTCTCAGTTTCATATATATCAATTCAAAATAAAAAGTGCACCTCTGAACAATTTTTACAGGGCCGCCCTAGGCGCGCCCCCCCCCTCTCAGGTGCTAGGGGAGGGCGCGCGCCCGGCCGCCCCCCCCCCTAGTTGCGCCTCTGAGGCTCTGACTCACTCACTAGTCACTGTCACTGATCAGTTGAATTGAAGTTCTCCCAGTTTGCATTACTATGAGATAAAGCACCGGTGAATAGTGTGACTTGAAATTGGGTGACTTGAAATCACGCTTAAAGTTCTTTAAATTTGAAAAACTTTTTTACATATCAGGACATCAATCATATTTTTTCTCTATAGATAAATCATGAATATAACAGAGTTTAGAAAGCTCAAAAGGCGCCAATATAAGGCTTCATGGCAATGGGCAAAGAGAAGAAAAATGAAAGCGCAAAGAAAGGGTTCTGGTTGGTCTAGTTCCGCCTCATCAGATATAAATGTATCCCAAGAAGATATACAAAGTGAAAGTGAAGATCGATTTCAGGTAGTGATAGATCCTATTGGTGAGGAATCAGACTTTGAAGATTCCAGTACTTTGAGAGACGTTTTGGGTGAAGTTCACGAGGGAGAGGAAGAGGTAATTTTCTACAGAACACTTTTTGGACCCCCCCC